GGCTGATGCGGAAAGCCGTGGGTGTTGGAGAATGAAGCACTGTTACCACTGAGTATGACAGACAACTGCTTTACAGATTTTCATTTGGTGAAAATAATATTCCAAAAGCTGAGCGAGGATTTGCAATGCTGGGCTTTGTGCTACATAGTGAGGATTAAGATAATAGTTAAGAAGATAAATGCAAAGGATATGAACAAAGGTTATTCACCTTCATTGATATCAGTCCCTTATTAGCAACATCATAGAATGCTTGATGACCTAATTCTTAACCTCATGTGCCTAACCTCCTGCTAAGTCAATTTAAAGCTCTATTATTCTCTTAGTTGATGAGATTTACAGTAACCTCTACAAATCTGTTGCTCTTTAATCTTAATTTGACCTCCCATTTTTATAATGCATTTTGGAGCCGTTAGCAATAAGTGAGACTGATGTCTCTGTTTAACACTTTTCTGTACAAATTAGTTGTCCAGCTAACTTTCTTCCACGTAACATGGCTGAACTATCCTTTAGATACTAAAAGCAGCATGTGGCTGGGGATATATTGTCCTGGTAATTTTGTCTCCTCCTGAGCATCTTGATATCTGTCTCCATGGGAACAGAATCCCAATTAATACTTATGCATAAGCTTACTGGGGCCTTTCAAATCTTACTCTTGCTTCTTTTAAGAAAAGGCAGTAGTGAGAGAATAGCACAAGTGAATTAACCCTTGGAGAAGAGAGAAATCTGTTTAAACTAGGAGAGGCAGGAAGAAGACAACTGCGATAATGCTGAGAAAAGCAAGTGATTCTCATGCTAGTTACACAGGGCTAGAATAAAAGATTTAAGGAACTGCCTGACTGCACGTAGGTGAAGTATTAGAGAAGGTACTGGTAGCGTCTATCCGGAAAGGTTATTGGCTTGTGGTAACCAGATTAAAAGAAATATTGTAGAGGGCCTGGATGGCTCAGGGGGATTGGTAGTGGGATACAAATAGTCTTTCACCTCACATGGCTTAGGCTGAGAGTGAATGAACACTGTCCTCTTTTTTTGAGGGCTGTTAGGTTCCTATGAAAAATGGAATTCGACTGAGATCAAGTCTACTGGATCAGGTATGCTTCCTCCCACACAAACAAACCCAACCACTAATGGCCGCCTCATTTGCAGTTAGCACAGACAACCTAAGCACTAAATGCTCTTAAAAACACTTCAGTAATTGCCCTACCACAGCAGTATCATTGTTCTTAGCAGTAGCATTTGGATAATGACCAAAGCATTGCTCTATAAGAGTGGGCATGAAGAACCAAGTGCTGCTTACCCTTATGTGATCTTGACAGGCAGCGATGAGTGACATTTGCAGAGCCTTGTACTGCTGCTCTTTGTTTCACCTAGCCAAGTGAAAGGCTATCAGTCTGAAACCTTTAACATAGAATCATAGAATATCAGGGTTGGAAGGGACCTCAGGAGGTCATCTAGTCCAACCCCCTGCTCAAAGCAGGACCAATCCCCAACTAAATCATTCCAGCCAGGGCTTTGTCAAGCCTGACCTTAAACTTCTAAGGAAGGAGATTCCACCACCTCACTAACAAGCACTTTGGATTTGGAGAAATAAATAGAAGTGTCATTAAAGAAAATTATGGCTATAATGAAGACAGGCCTGGGTAAACCCTGGGCTAAAGAGCAGATCTATCCAATCACTGACCAGGCCCTTTCTGGCAAGTGCTTGGACATTCTGGGTGTGATTTAAGAATGAAAGGAACGGTTGATTCACCTGATTCTCATAGAATCATAGAATCATAGAATATAAGGGTTGGAAGGGACCCCAGAAGGTCATCTAGTCCAACCCCCTGCTCGAAGCAGGACCAAATCCCAGTTAAATCATCCCAGCCAGGACTTTGTCAAGCCTGACCTTAAAAACCTCTAAGGAAGGAGATTCTACCACCTCCCTAGGTAACGCATTCCAGTGTTTCACCACCCTCTTAGTGAAAAAGTTTTTCCTAATATCCAATCTAAACCTCCCCCACTGCAACTTGAGACCATTACTCCTCGTTCTGTCATCTGCTACCATTGAGAACAGTCTAGAGCCATCCTCTTTGGAACCCCCTTTCAGGTAGTTGAAAGCAGCTATCAAATCCCCCCTCATTCTTCTCTTCTGCAGGCTAAACAATCCCAACTCCCTCAGCCTCTCCTCATAACTCATGTGTTCCAGACCCCTAATCATTTTTGTTGCCCTTCGCTGGACTCTCTCCAATTTATCCACATCCTTCTTGAAGTGTGGGGCCCAAAACTGGACACAGTACTCCAGATGAGGCCTCACCAATGTCGAATAGAGGGGAACGATCACGTCCCTCGATCTGCTGGCAATGCCCCTACTTATACATCCCAAAATGCCATTGGCCTTCTTGGCAACAAGGGCACACTGCTGACTCATATCCAGCTTCTCGTCCACTGTCACCCCTAGGTCCTTTTCCGCAGAACTGCTGCCTAGCCATTCGGTCCCTAGTCTGTAGCTGTGCATTGGGTTCTTCCGTCCTAAGTGCAGGACCCTGCACTTATCCTTATTGAACCTCATCAGATTTCTTTTGGCCCAATCCTCCAATTTGTCTAGGTCCTTCTGTATCCTATCCCTCCCCTCCAGCGTATCTACCACTCCTCCCAGTTTAGTATCATCCGCAAATTTGCTGAGAGTGCAATCCACACCATCCTCCAGATCATCCCTTACTCTTTGCGGGGGAAAACTGCTCTATAGCAAATTTTTTTTTTGTTCTGTTTAATTAAGCAGGACAGGCCCCTTCATTTTTCTAATGATTCTCTTGGAAGGGAAACTTTGGTCCAGATGTGTGTTCTGTATGTGTCCTCTAGTAGGTTTGAATCATGGCCATTAGGTAGTTTGAACTGGAACTGACTGGGAGTTTTCAGATTAAATGTCTTTGTTTTGACAAATCAGCATTTTCAAACAAAAGAGTGTTTACTAGAAAGGGTCTGTTTTAATGAATCTCCTGATTTAAAAAAATAAGTTTCAAAATTAAGTGTCTTATTTTGACACTTTGGAAATAAGTTTTTGAGTTTTGTGCAAAAAGGTTTTGTTTCAAATTTTAGTGGGGTTTTTTTCTACAAAAAGTCAACCGAAATTACTGACATGTTTTGGTTGACTTTTTTTTTTTTTGGATTATTCGTTCATGAAAACTTCGTTTTTTCACTTTTGGTCCTGATTAGGATGGAATTTTTTTAATCGTTTCCCATTCAGCTCCACTTTGGACAGCTGTGTGAACCCTTTAAATATGTGTATTTAAAGGATTCATGTGGCTCAAGTCTCCTCTCGCTCTTCTTATTTCAAGACAATTTCCTTACTTCAAGCCTTTCCAGGGAGGGACAGGTAGTTGAGTACCACCAAGTAGGAGAAGAGATGAACTGTCCTCTTGTAGAGCTCTTCCCACCTCATCTCTCAACCAGATGAACCATATTTCATATGGCTCCAACATGTCTCCTCTTGATACCTTCTGTTCTTCAGAGACTGAGTTTTATTTTTTTTTTAAGTTTTGTGCATGTTTTTCTTTCTGTTGACACTGTTTTAAAAATACAAATTGTATTCAGTAGGGGACGATAACTAAAACTTTTACAGACAATTTAGTGTGCGCACGGAGTATGAAATAGAATGGATTTAGTGAATGGTGCTGAAACACTTTTAGTATTGGGAGTGCTGAAAGCCAACCCCCCTTCTGGCTGCCCACACTGCCCCCCGGCCACCCCAAGCTGAGGCTGGGAGCAGGGCTGTGTCTGGGAGGGGGGGACCCGAACAGGGGTAAGGGGCCCAAGGCTATGGCCACAGGTGGGGGTGGGGCCAAGAGCAGAGCTCTGGGCAGGGGCCGGCAGCTGGGTCTCCACGTGCAGAGCCAGGACAGTGGCTGGGGCCCCAGGAGCAGAGCCCTGGGTGCTGGGTTGGGGATTGGAGTGCAGGCTCGCTAGCCCAGACTTGAGCCCCAGGCACAGGGCCAGGGAGGCAGAGGGCTGAGATCAAGGCCCTGGGTGCAGAACCAGCCCCTGAGCCAGGGAGTGGAGCCCTGGGCACAGGGCCAGTGGCCCTGCTTAAAACCTGGGGGTGCTGCTGCACCCCTACTTCCTGTGCCTATGAATTTAGTTAATCCAAATGTTCTACTTCCTAGTTACATTTGCTATCTCTGGTTAATATGACAGTGATAGGGATGTACTGTAGGAACTGGCTTTCATTTCTAATGCTCAGCGATCCTATGTGTTCTCCTAATGTGAAGGGGAAAAAATGGGATTTCATGATTTTCTAATGACCCTTCCATTTAAGAGTAGAAACTTTCCTGATTGAATTATTTTCACCCCCACATACAGTCGTCATTACTCCCACCTCTGAAATGCAGGTATCTTTGCAAGCAGTAATGGTTTCACAGCTCAAAGCAACACTGAGCAACATTGGAAGCTAAGAAGAATATTGTATCTATCTAGTTGAAAGTGCAAGGGATTGTAGGCATGCTGAAAACAAACAACCCAACTAGAACTTGGCCAGAACATGACTTAAAAAATTCTACTGCTGTGAAAACTGACTCAGAACCACTAAGACATGCAGCTGGTTAGGGCTTTGCTCTTCCATCAAGATGGATGGGCTCCTTTACCGTGTTCACTAGTTAGTCAGAATTCTTCATAATGCAGGAGTTTATCAAGATTGCTTTTAAAAACAAACCAAAAGAACTGTTAAGTTGCTGCAACCCCTATTTGGACAGCCACAAAAAGATTGGCTTCTTGTAAAGGCTAAAATACAACACACAAGTGGTAAGAGAAACCATAAAAAATAATTAAGATAATGTGCAGCTAACAATAGCTAATCATTGAGCTCCATGGGATGTAAGCACTTGCTTAACCTCAGGTGAATGCTTAAATACTTTGCTGACTAAGGGCCTGAACTACATGCTACAATAACAAATTCTGGTTCTACAATGTTTAAAAACAAACCAAAATCCTGCCAAACTATACTTAAGAATAGCATTATAGTGCTCTACACCCATCATGCTTTATGATTTAAAAATCCAATCATTCTAGAGTTTTTTTTTTTATTTCAACCAAGGCTGGGATAGCCACTTTCCAACATTTCTAGCTCCATAGTTTTCACTCTTCGCTGTTAGTGCTTTGTTTTGCAAAATTCATATCCACGTATACCATAGAGTCTCTGCTTGGCAGTGAAGGAGAACTTGTGCAGGTAGATTTTCTTCTAACCTGAAAAGAAAGCATTAAGATGTATTACGTAAACAGTTAGTGCGTAATCTGTTAAAGATGCACAGGCACATCTTATACACATAAGAGTTGACTTCTATTCTGACTTCTTAATTTGTCAGTGTTGCTTTATCACCTCTAGTGGTAAAGATAATGAGCTTCCTGGAACAAATCCATTTCACCTAATTCTACTCCCACTCAAGTCCACGGCAAAAATCCCCCATTGACAATCCTGCCCACCCTAATGTCAAAATTGTCCTCAGCCACACTGCTTTGCTTAAAAGTAATCTAAGTTCTTCAGATATAGCCTGTGAACAAGCTTTCATGGAGACTTACCTGTGTGAAAGTGTGAAGGAACAATAAAATGCAATTTTTGAGGAAGAGAGAAACATTAGACAATAGCTAAAACTTCAAATCAAAGCCACTCTTAATAATTTGTAACTCAAATACAGTTTTCAGAGTAGCATCCTAGCCACTATGGATGTAGAAGCCCTCTACACCAACATTCCACACAAAGATGGACCACAAGCCATCAGGAACAGTACGCCCGATAATGTCACAGCAAACCTGGTGGCTGAACTTTGACTTTGTCCTCACCCATAACTATTTCACATTTGGGGACAATGTATACCTTCACATTAGCGGCACTGCTATGGCCACACAGTATGCCAACACTTTTATGGCTGACTTAAAACAACGCTTCCTCAGCTCTCGTCCCCTAATGCCCCTACTCTACTTGCGCTACATTGATGACATCTTCATAATCTGGACCCATGGAAAAAAAGCCCTTGAGGAATTCCACCATGATTTCAACAATTTCCATCCCACCATCAACCTCAGCCTGGACCAGTCCACACAAGAGATCCACTTCCTGGACACTGCAGTGCTAATAAACGATGGTCACATAAACACCACCCTATACCGGAAACCTACTGACCGCTATGCCTACCTACATGCCTCCAGCCTTCATCCAGACCACACCACATGATCCATTGTCTACAGCCAAGCTCTACAATACAACCGCATTTGCTCCAACCCTTCAGACAGAGACAAACACCTACAAGATCTCCATCAAGCGTTCTTACAACTACAATACCCACCTGCTGAAGTGAAGAAACAGATTGACAGAGTCAGAAGAGTACCCAGAAGTTACCTACTACAGGACAGGCCCAACAAAGAAAATAACAGAACACCACTAGCCATCACCTTCAGCCCCCAACTAAAACCTCTCCAGCACATCAAGGATCTACAACCTATCCTGAAGGATGACCCATCACTCTCACAGATCTTGGGAGACAGGCCAGTCCTTGCTTACAGACAGCCCCCCAACCTGAAGCAAATACTCACCAGCAACCACACAACAGAACCACTAACCCGGGAATCTATCCTTGCAACAAAGCCCGTTGCCAACTGTGTCCACATATCTATTCAGGGGACACCATCATCGGGCCTAAACACATCAGCCACACTATCAGAGGCTCGTTCACCTGCACATCTACCAATGTGATATATGCCATCATGTGCCAGCAATGCCCCTCTGCCATGTACATTGGCCAAACTGGACAGTCTCTACGTAAAAGAATAAATGGACACAAATCAGACATCAAGAATTATAACATTCAAAAACCAGTTGGAGAACACTTCAATCTCTTTGGTCACTCGATTACAGACCTAAAAGTCGCAATTCTTCAACAAAAAAAACCTTCAAAACAGACTGAATTGAGAGACTGCTGAATTGGAATTAATTTGCAAACTGGATACAATTAACTTAGGCTTGACTAAAGACTGGGAGTGGATGGGTCATTACACAAAGTAAAACTATTTCCCCATGTTTATTCCTCCCCCCGCGTGCTCCCCCCCAGCTGTTCCTCACATGTTCTTGTCAACTGCTGGAAATGGCCCACCTTGATTATCGCTACAAAAGGTTTTTTTTTCCCCACTCTCCTGCTGGTAATCGCTCACCTTACCTGATCACTCTCGTTACAGTGTGTATGGTAACACCCATTGTTTCATGTTCTCTGTGTATATAAATCTCCCCACTGTATTTTCCACTGAATGCATCTGATGAAGTGAGCTGTAGCTCACGAAAGCTTATGCTCAAATAAATTTGTTAATCTCTAAGGTGCCACAAGTTCTCCTTTTCTTTTTTCAAATACAGTTGAATTTTCTTCAAATTTTGCAAATTCCTTCTCTGTTTTCAGGGTCAATATGGCAATTTTCAGGTCAAGAACACATTTCAAGCCAAAGTTCTCAGAGTGCTAAAAGAGGCCTATAAAATGGAAGCTAGATGAAACTTTAATTATGGAGAAGCTGCTGCTGCTTCAAAACACAGACACAACTATAGAGACCAAAATAAATCAAATAAAACAATAACACAGTATGATACTAATCATTGACACTGCTTGGGTCATTTGAAATGGTTGTGTTATCAGATAATTCGGAAGCAACAGTGCAGGAGAGACTAGCAGCTCAGAAGAGGAGGGGTAAGTAGTGAGGATTTAAATAATGTGGATTCTACTGTAGTTAGTTATAACTTCACCAGTCACACACAACATAGGATTTCTCTCCACCCACCCTCCCCCATCAATGCTAGTTATTTTCTTCATATCTTTCCATCTGCCAGGGAAAATGCACTGCAGGTCTTTAAAATACCTTACACTAGGTGAAAGACAAAAGGAAAAGTAGCCATTTGTAATAATATCTGATTCATTTCTTCAACCCCTTATGAGGCTGATCGGGCCCCATAGCACCCCATGCAAGACTCAACATCTCTGATGTCAATAGTCTGACAAAAATAAACCATCAGATAATACCAAGTGTTACTTTGAGCTTAAAATAGAAGACACATGATATTTCACAATCAGGGGCAATTGTCAGGTGGGAGTTTTTCTTGTTTACATGTTGACATAGACTGTGTGTGATCCTTTATAGGCCATGGCATGACAGTGAGTCACACAGGAAATTAAACTACGTATGTCTTTACGCGACAAGCCATTGCTCAAATTTAATTAGGTAGGATTACAAATCGATAATAGGCTTCATTAGCATAATGTTATTCCCATGAAAGTATGTGCTGGGATTATGAATTTAAATCATTTCTCCAAAGAACATACAGATTTCATTCATCAAAGCAACAGCAATTTTCACTTCAAGAAACATTTCTGATTTACATAATGATTCTCAACTCATGATGCAAGATTTATAAATCATATGGTCAATCTAAAAGATGCCCTCTATTCAAATTATGAAGCCTCTGTGACTAGAGACCCATTATTCTGAATGGAGAGGCCATAAAAACATCAGTACCTCTGACTTAAAATTGATCTATTAGGTAATAATGTTTCAAGTGGAACTTGGTACTCCATTTATCAAAAATGTCTGTCTGTAGTTGGGTTTCACACTAGATATTAATGTTCCTTAGGCTGTGGGTGTGTGTTTCCTCTTCAGTTTGTAAAGGGTGGCATGGGGCAGTGTGCTGTCAGAGAAGCAGAATCCTGATAGGGATGGGTTTTCCCTGATTATGGGTCCTATAAAGGCAGCCAAACAGTAGCCAGCAGCACAGGAGCCAGCAAACAGAACTGTAAATGGGAGTATTTGTACAGGGAGTTTGGGGAGGGGCATATGTGGAGTTTTTGGTTTTTGTTTTCCTTGACAGGAGGTTAGGCAGGAAGGCCATGATAGTCGTCAGTGGTAGTGACCCAAGGAATGGAAGAAGCAATGAGGATGACTGGATGTAGAAGCTGTGGGTTGTTGTACATGATCCTGGAGTGGGTACCTGAAAAGAGCTTTGTATGGAGTACCACCTGATAGAGCTGATGGAAGAAAAGATCCGAGGCTTGGAGACACAGGTGGAAAGTATGGTTGAATTTTGAAGGGGATTCAAGCAGATGAGGGAAGGTGAGAAGCGCTGAAGGGAAAAGTCAAGACTGGCAGATGCAAGCTGGACAGAAGAACTCTGAGGGGAGATTGCTGGGTGAGGAAAGTGGCTAGTGGAAGCATATGATGAGAACCAAGCAGAGGAAAAGACCAGCTAGTGAAGGAGAAATAGAGCTCAGGAATAGCTTTGCTGAGTTGGAAAATGAAGAAGAGGACCAGCAGGCAGTAACTGAAGGTGGAAGGGCCAGGAAAAAGAGAACAGCTAGTCCTGTAAGAGAGGAAGAGCCAATGGAGATATGCAGAGTTCAGAGCCCCAGGAGGATTCAGAATAACTCTTGGAAGATTGAAAGGGAGAATTAAAAAACAAGATGACTTGAAGCCAGAAAGAACAGAAGGAAGGTTGGAGAATCACACCATCACTGAGAAAAGGTAAGTCTAAGTTATTGGTGACTCCCTACTAGGAACGACAGGCCTGTCCCTAGAGCTGATCCAGAGAGCAGAAGGGCGTGATGTCTGCCATAAGCTAAGACAGGGATATGGACCTGAGGCTGAAGAGGACCCTAATAGGAGCAGGAAAGAATCCACTGATTGTTCTTCATGTGGGACAAATGATAATGCTAGATTCTGACTGGAACGTATCAAGGGAGACTGTCAGGCTGGGGAAGACACTTAAGGAAATGGAGGCTCAGGTGATCCTCAGTGGGATTCTACCCATCCCTAGAGGAGGAGAATGAAGGTCTGATGATCAACATATGGCTCAGGCAGTGGTGCTATAAGGAGGGATTTGGGATGTTTGACATTGGGAGGCATTCATGGGGAGGGGACTGTTCGTATGGAATGGACTCCATCTGCATAGGGAAGAAAATAGGCGTCTGGAGTGGAGGTTGACATAATTGATTAAAAGAGCTTTAAAACGGGAATTTTGGGGGAGACAGCCGGGAGGCACTCAGTAATCTCCACACCTGATTCTATCATTGAGTGGGAGGAAAATCAAGTAAGAAAAGATACAGCAATGCATTATACCAATAAAATAAAAACCAGCAGGATCTTATTAAAGGGGAAAAGGCAAAATGCCACATTTATTGTGAATACAGAAAGACTCATAGTAAGCAGTTAGTTATAGCTAT